AAAGATAGCATCAAAGAAAAATACTTTTAATAAAAGGTAGAATAAAATTACAATTTTTAAAAGCCAAGGATAGACATTAATGAAACACATTATACTGTAAACAAACTATGTCAGCACCCTCGCCATACAGGTCAATTTCTGATTTTATGCCTGGATTATAAACACAACCTAAGTCATCTATCTTAGTGATGTTACAATGAAATTGATCTTTCACACCACTTCAACCTCCTTAATGGCTTTCCATAAAGCTGCTTAGGCTGTCACACACTGTGCCTTCTGATCTCCCTGATACCTATTCTTCCTTCCATACTTTATATTCAAGCAAAAGCAGAATTTTTGTCAACTCATAGCGAACCTATTATAGGGTTTCCAAACAGTGGCTGGTGGGCTTGAACTGCTGACCTTGTGGTTAACATTTCAATGTTTATACTACACTGCCACACCAGGACTCTTAGAGTTGAATAGTATATACTCATATACATCAGCTGTTTTATACTTCATGTATTTGTTTAAACAGTTCCATTTACCTTCTATTTTTATGCTCACATCTACATCCTCTAAATGTCTGCCTAGCTTTCTGGCTTCAAGACCTAGCTTCTATTTCCAGGCTATGATCACATAGCAACTTTATGTATACTTTCACATTAGTATGTATCACATAGTATTAAAGTTCTGTTTATTGGTCTGTCTCCTTTAATACTCTGTAATCTGACAGATACAAACTAAAGAGGACAAAATTAAAATAGCTAATTATAATGTTTAAAATTAAAGAGGGTCAAAAAACACACAAGTGACAGCACATCAAAATGTGCATGCATCTTGGAGTGATTCATTTATTCAGCTTACATTTAATGAGTGCTTACCATTTTCCATTTAATGTGCTAAATACTAGCAACATGAAGAAAAATAAGATACCGACTCTGACTTTAGAAATTATGTCATCTAGAAATGAAAGTTTCTGGTAATGGGAAATACATTTTGAATTTGAAGGTCTTCAAAGGTAAATGGAGCAGCATGTATATACTAGAAAATGAATGGCACAAACATACTTTTCAATCATATTTCTTGAATTTCCATATAAATTGTGAATTATATTAGCTATGTTTGATCTTCCCTAGTGATTCTTTTATAATTATTTCCTTACTAAGAATATATTGCTTGATACAGACTATGCTAGTCTATAGGTGTCTACAGAATATTGCCATAATGTGTTGTAAAACAGAACATACAAATTAAACAAATTACCTTTTAGCACAGGAAAAAAAAAACCCTCAAAGTATATTGACTCGTTGCTACTTAAATTAGAAGAGTCCTGGTGTTGCGCTGTGGGTTAATGCACCAGACTGCAAAGTCGTGTGAATCGCAAGGTCAGCAGTTCAAGCTCACCAGTAGCTCCTTGGAAACCCTATACAGGGTCACTATGGGTCAGAATCAACTCTACAGCACTTAGCAACAACAACAAGTTAAATTAGAAACCTTTTAGTAATAAAGTCATGTAAATATAAAAAAGATGGAGGAAAACTGTGAGACAAGAACACAAAGCACACATAATGATTATGAAAAAATTTATATGTATATACTGACAGTAGCTGAAAGCCACAGGTAGAAATTACTGTTATGATTTTGGGTAGAGGTTAAATATACAATTTTAAAAGATAAATCAATTTTATTGATTTCCATATTTCAAATAACTATTCAAAAAGCAAATTATTTGTTTATGTAGGTCTTCTATAACACAAGCCTTTTCAAGTTCTAGTATGTTACATAAACTGGTATAGTGAAACCAATCAGCAATATATGGTAGACTAATGTAAGACTGAGGCATTTGGCCTTATAAATGAAAAACTATATTGTTCGATGTCATTTGCAGATTTTAAAGGAAAAAGAAAATTTGAGAGAATGATCTGTATATCTGAATCAGTGCTGACATTACCTGGCATAGCTTTCCCACTTATGTCAGCATTCATGACAGCAGTGAAAACAAAGAAAAATAATCAGTAAAGGAGAATGCTTAAAAGAAGGGGAAATGTAAAGCAAAAACTTACTCTACAATGTAAATAAACTTCCTTTGGAAAACAAATCTAAGAAAACTAATTTCAGCTAGAAATCTATGTTTACTATAACTATCAGACTGTTGTTAGTTGCCATCAAGTTGGTTTTGACTCATAGCAACCCTGTAAAAGGTTTCTGAGGAGTAACTGGTGAGTTTGAACCACTGACCCTGAGATTCAAACCAACCTTGTAATCCAGTGCTTATCCTATAGTGCCACATCAGGACTTCAAATTATCAGAGTTGTTGATCCTAATTAAGGTTTCTGACTTTCATAGCAACTCTCTGTATTTTTTTTAATATGCAGGGACATCTGAAAATTCATGTCATTACAGACTCACTTATTTAGTATCTTTGACATCCATTACTGCGCTAAAGTATATCCTGTGTTATCTTACAGTCTCAAGTACCATAGAGAAGTAAACATTTCTCAAGAAATAATAAGCTAACTAAACATCTGTCTGTGTTAATTTTGGAGTTAGAAACTAAACACTAATTTAAACTTCCTTATTTTTAAGAGCCTTTGATTTTCAAGATGGTGGTGGTCCACAAATATATCTATTTGTAGATGTCAGCTGCTATAAATACTTGGCAAAAAAAAAAAAAAAGACTGTTGATGTTTATTGCTATTAACTACCATGGAGTCCATTCCGACTCACAGCAACCCTTATGGTCGAGTGCTTATCTTATAACACCACAGAGTTTAAATTCTTATATAGTTCCTCAAATTCATGGCTCTGAATACTACAGGGAATAAAGTATATATTATTACTTGTATGCACAAAAAGATCTCTTCTAGCTTGACCTGAATAAACAGAATTAAAATGAAATTCACAGCCCTCCTGTTAATTTAGCATATATTGCACTTAACTGAGGAGTCCTGGTGTAGCGCTGTGGGTTAATGCACCAGACTGCAAAGACATCTGAACTGCAAGGCCAGCAGTTCAAGCTCACCAGTTGCTCCTTGGAAACCCTATACAGGGTCGCTATGGGTCAGAACTGATTCAACCAATTCAACAACACTTAACTGAATGAGCCCAAAGTTTTCTCACTCATCCTTGAGATGAACTAATTAAGATATTTTGAGTTGGTACTGACTGAACGGCACTTAACAACAACATTTAGGTGTACAATATTGGGACAGTGGCCCACTGAAGAAACTGAAAAATTTCCATCAAGTACAGAACCAATAAAAATTCAATTTCTAGAGAATAAAGGACTTACCATAATATCAACAATGAGAGTAGCAAAAGTAAATTACTTGTACTGATATCTTAATGTGACTGGATACAGTCTCCAATTACAAAAAATCCCAATCATAAAAAGACCAGTGACCATCAAATTGATTCCAACTCATACTTTAAACACTAATTTCCCCAGAGTATCTAATGCACCCAACATGCTTCTCCCCCAAGCCACTTGCACAACCCCCCAATCAAACCACACACACCTACGCTTTTCTCTATCATTTCACCACAACCCATCACAATATGCACAGAAACTAGCAATTGCTGTGAATAATGTTACAAAACTACTTGGTATTTTTATAGTCTGTTCAAATCAAAGTTGTGACAGACAGATGCAATTTAGGGTAGCTAACCTTACGAAGTCCTGGCATGGCACTGTAGGATAAGCACTAAATTGAAAGGTTGATTTGAACCTCAAGGTTGGAAACCGTTTACAGGGTCGCTATGAGTCAGAACAGACTCAATGGCACTTAACAGCAGCAGCCTTAAAGGCAAATTTTCAGTAAACCTAACTAGCCTAAGTGAAATCCACTTCTACCTCCAGTCCAAAAATGTCCCCAGAGACTTAACCTTTAAAATTAAATTTGAAATTATACCAATATGAGATTTATTGGTATTTTTTAAAAAAATTTAAACAGGTCTATGAGAGCAAAAGTTCTTTATTATATGGACTATATAAAACTTAACTTACTAGGACTGCTTTTCTCCTATAACTAGCTGAGGTTAACAGCACTGATGGAATTAGAAATGTAGATAGAAGAATCAGTGAAGCAAGCAATCATTAAGTATGAAACACCAGTAGGAAGATGGTTTCCAAAGAGTCCTGGATTTCAATTTGATTCTGCCATCAGAAATGTGTCTTTACGCAAATAACAAACAGTGCATCTCAATAGTCTCTTTTTAAAGACGAGAATAATATTTCCCTACAAGGTTGATGCATATAAAAACACAGTTTGGCAAAGTAGTGAAACTGGCTCTCAAATAACAGATTCTCATAAAACGCCAACTTCCCTCTTTTCTGTGTCCATTACTGTGGCAAGAAGGGAAGGCACCAAAAAAAGAAAGGACTAATCGGAGTAGTGAAAGGGTGGCAAAGAGAAACTCTAGAAAATTCCTCCTTGTTAACTATATTCCATCAAGAGGAAGTAGGAAAACACGTTTCCTTTCTTTTTCCCTTTTCATTCTCATTTTCTTGACTATATTGTCTTCATTCCTGGACTCAAATACAGGCATACCTCAAGATACCGCACGTTCAGTTCCAGGTCACCGCAATATAAGTAAAGCAAAAGTCGTAATAAAGTGAGTCACGAATCTTTTGTTTTCCCAGTACACATACAAGTTATGTTTACACTATACCATAGTGACCTGGTGTGGCACTGCAGGATAAAACACTGGAAATGTCAAGGAAAAGGGGGTTTAAAACACTAGCCACTCCTTGGAAAACCTATACAGACGGTGTCACTATGAGTTGAAACCAACTTGATGGTACACAACTGTTCTGATTTCAGAGAATATTTTAAATAATCATCTCTGGGACACCCAATCAATCAAGTTATAACTACTGACTTACATTTTATGTATCATTATGAATAGCATGAAGAAGAGATTCTACTAAAAACTGATGGTATGTATTTTTTTAAGATTCACCTTTTGGTATTAGTCAAATTTTCATTCACTGTTGAATTTTTAATATAAAACATTACCTGTCAAAATTTCGGTGTTTCGGGCAGCTATTGTTTTAACTTTTATTATTCCTGATTCAGCAGCCTGCAAGAATAAAAATAATTAGAATAAAAGACTTACTATTAATATGAATTATCCAGGGAACAGAAATCATACATGATGGATAAAATCTCAAGCACAAATAGTTACTAACACCTTTTTTATTTTCAAGACACAGATATTAAGCCTTGTGGTAACATATACCTTAAATATAGTCAAAAAAAACTAATGAAAAATCTTCCACAAGACACGAAAGCACTGAAAAAGAAATCAAGTAAAACTACTGCTTTAGGCTGTTAGCACCAGTTGTTTTGTTTGTTTTTTTGAAAGTAGATATCCACAAATTTTATTTTTTACCTTGAGTTTTTAGTCTTTTTTTAAATGTACCTAAATAGGTCACCATAGCTGGTAGTACTTGGAAGGCATGTAGACTTTTACAGATTGCCATGCATACATAAGAACTAGGTATCCAATAGTAACCATTTGCTACATGCACATAAATTAAGCAATTTGATATGTGGTTAGTTCAAATTGAGTGCAAAATAAAAATCCAAAACCAGTTGTTATGAGTTTATTCTAAATCTTGGTAACCCAACTGAAATCTATTAGGGTCTTAAACAGCTGATTTTTCAGAAGATCCTCTGGGTGGACTTGAATCTTTTGGCTAGCAATAAAACTTCTTAACTCTTTGCACCACCCAGGGACTCCTAGATGCAAATTACACATTGGATATCAAAAACTTAATATGAGAAAAAAAAGTCAGTTTGAACCACAAAGTTAGTAGTTCAAACTCACCAACCACTCCCTGGAAAACCTATACAGGGTTGGTATGAGTCGGAACCATCTCGACGGCACTTAACAACATATTAGGTAAAGTGATGGTTAAGTACTATAGAGATCAAGTCAGGCAAATCAGAGTGGCAGCGGTGGTAAAGAATTCCATCTTCTTTCTCTTTTGGCTAACCTCGTGTTTTTAGGAATAACAGTTCTGGAGAAATGTCAGGGGGCAATTTCAAAACATCAGTAATTAGTGACATGCTTCAAATGGAGTCCTGGTGTGGCTCTACAAGATAATGCACTAGACTGCAAGGTCGGTTTGAACTGCAAGACCAGCAGTTCAAACTCACCAGTCGCTTCTTGGAAACCGTATACAGGATCGCAATGAGTCAGACCCAACTTGACAACACTTAAAAACAACAACAATGCTTCAAATGGCAAACTTGTGAGTTATAAACTAAGAAGGTGACTTGCTATGAGTGATTATTTATTAGGTATTAAAAATGGATGATGCATTGTCCTTTTAGTGACTTAAACACTCTATTCTCATAGAATAAAAGGTAGTAAAACACTGTCACTGGCTATGACAGGTTTAATACAAGAATATCACAACTAACATTAAATTATGTTTATATGGCACTTTATTGTTTTATGGTTGTTTTACATCACATCTTATTTGATCTACACAAGGTGTGCAACAGAGAGGCAAAGTGTCTTATCTAGAATTATTGGGAGGTGAGGGAGCAGAAAGAGTAAGATCAAGAAACAGGGAGCCCATTTAAGAAGCTATTGCAATAGTACAAAAGCAAGAGATAAGGGTGGACAGGCCCTAGGTAATAAGTGATCAGATTCTGGATATATATACTTTAAAGATGTACAAATTCTAGTATATTCTTACTGTAAATATTAAATAAGTTTGAAATTATTCACTCAGGTAAATTTCCTACTGGTTGGTTGGTTGGTTATGTGACGTGGAGTAGGTTTAGACTCATGGCAACCCTGTACAGGGGTTCCCAGGCTGTAAATCTTCAGGGGAACAGAACACCTCATCTTTCTCCTGTGGAACTGCTGGTAGTTTTAACTGCTGACCTTGAGGTTAGCAGCCCAACTCATAAACCACTATGCTACCAGAGCTCCTGGAAATTTCCAACTAGAGTGTTGAAATTAGAATGTGTTCACAGAGGCTTCTTCCATCATCACTTTCAAATGTTTAACTTTCTCCCTCCTTTCTTTACTGTGGCCTATATTCAGCATATCTTTATGCCTCTGTGTCAACAGAGATTGGTCAAACGGAATCTTCATAGATTCCAAAGTGATTTGCCCAGACTTTCTGGATTCCAGTAAATAAAACTTTCTTAAGAGTTACCAAAATCAGTCCTACAGTGTGTTAGATGCTATATTTCAGTAAATGATTTCAAATTTTTCAGACCCTATTTTGATTTCATTAGCAAAATAAGTTTGCCCACGTATATGCAAATATATTTAAGAAATATTTTTATACATATAAACAATAAAAAGGAATAAGTAGTGCATTTTTTGTGTTTTATTTTAAGTTGTTCCATAACAGGAATTTAAACATATATAAATAGTATTTTCAATCACAGATTCAAGAAATCTCCAAAACGACTTTTTTTTGGTCTTGGATGTCATTAAAACTATAGTTTCTCATTTTTTACATCCACGTGTCTATTGTCAAAATACTTTCAAAGTATAGCATATTATTCTCAAGGCCCCCTACACAGCTAGAAAGTTCCACTACCAGTGTTTATTGGAAACATCTAAATATCAGGGTTCCTCAACCATTGCAGTGTTACTTATTTCATCCTACCAAGGACGAGTCTACCTCTCTACAAATGTCCTGTACAAACTGAAATCTTCAGTCTCAGGTTTCCTTCTATGTATCAAAAATTCTCTGTGTGAAGAAGAGTCATTAACTTCTTAAAACAGTATCCCATTAAGTAATCAAATACAGGGAAATGTGTATGAAATTTTAAAAAGTATCTTGAGAATTATAAATACATTATACCATTCCTTAAAGTTCAAAATGATATGTTCATTATTTTCTTTAAAAGGAAAGCAGGCACAAAAATTAAGTTCTACATCCTACTTTGGTGAGTGGCTTTGGGACCTTAAAAGCTCATGAGCTGACATTTAAGGTGCAACTACTGATCTCTCCATGTGCATAAAAAAGAAGAACGATGAGAACTGAAGATGCCTGAAATAAATTAGTCCAAGGGACTAATGGAACACGTGAACATCAGTCTGCATGACTCTGAGAGCAGAACTAGATGGTGTGTGGCTACCACTACCAACTGCTGTAAAAGGGATCACATTAGAAGGTTAGTATAGAGTGGGGAAAATGTGGAACAAAACTCAAAATTATTAATGGTCAAAAAGGGAACTTAAATTGCTGCATATGTTTTCACCAAAAACAAATTAAAAAAAAAATTGTACAGCATTATTTACATTACAATGACTCATTCTTGGTTGTTCAGTATGAAAATGTTAAGAATAAAAAAATAAAATTTGACCCATAAACAATCAGTGACAGAAAAATCACAAATATACATGTAAAAATGCTGGCACCCAGTGGATTTATTTTGACATAAGTCCCTCATCAACACTGCTTTCCAAAGGCAAATTCTATAAAAGAAACTGGCTGCTCACCAAGAGATATCATTCAAAAACAACAAAAATAATCAGCCTTTCTACAATTATGTGCCTTTTTATCTTTGCTTAGTCTACTTTTGAAGACAGAAACAGCACACACACACACAAAAGAAGACAACTTCACATAGTGAGCTCTACAGCAACTATTAAATAATTTTCCATTATAAGATGTATTTTGAAAGGGTATGCCTTTGCAAAGAATAGGTATAAATACATTTAACAAAGAAAATTGTCCATTATTTCTAAGTTTTTACTACATTAAAAAAATCAAAGAACCTACTAATATCTTATTTAAAATTTAAAGGAAAAAGTATTATCTCATGAGCCCACCTAGTCACTGACAAATTTAAAAATGTACATGTTTTTTTACAATGAAGACTGAAGACGCTTGGAATCAATCAGTCCAATGGAACATGTGAATATAAGTCTCCATGACTGGGACCACAAAAACTAGATGGTGCCTAGCTACCACAACTAACCACTGAAAGGAGCATATAAGTTAAACCTATTTAAATTTGTCAGTGACTGAATGAGTCCATGAGATACTACCTTTTTCTTTTAAATGATGTCCTTATACATCTACTGTCTCAGTAGAAGGATGAAAGACAAAACTGTATATAGAGAATTTCTTAGAACATATTATAATAGTTTAAGTTGATGAGACCTTGAACTAAAGGTAGAAGTAGAATTCAAGAAGAAAAATCATACAAGATATGTTAGCAAAGTAGACTTCGTAGGAGATTTTTGATTTGTAGGATAAGGGAGACAGAGAGCCAGGTGGTGCCTGCCTTCAGTGACTGAATAGATGCTGCTGTTGTCCATAAAAATAGAGGTTATAGGAAGAAAAAAGGGGGGGGGGCAGGTTTCTCTGGCACCAAGGTGGAGCTGCTTTTTTTTCTTCTTCTGGACAGAGGTATATGATGACATTTGTTTTGAGCATCTTGAATTTGAAGTACCTTTTTAGATAATGTAGGTTCATAAACCCTGTAATAGCTTAAGAGACAGATTACAAAGAAGAATATAATTTAAAAGTCATCAGGATTTAAAAAGCAACTGAGACCATGGAATTATGAGATTACCCAGTGAAGTTTTTGAGTGAGAAGAAAAGTGAGACCAAGGATAGCCTAAGTGAGTCTAGAAAGAGGAACCAGTAAAGGATATTGAGAAAGAGGAAATGATGCTTCTTGTGGGATTAATTTTAAAAATGAGATAGAGATAACAGACTACCTGTTGTAACCCATAGTAGCAACGTAACTGATTCACCCATACCCAGAACAACAGAATTTACAACTCTTTTTTTCTCTCTCTCTTTTCAGCATATGGGCTAATTCAGGAAAAACTACTATGTTTACTCTGAGTAGTCCTCCTTTGTTTGTTGTTGGTATGTGCCATGGAGTCGTTTCCAACTCATAGTGACCCTGTACAGGGTTTCCAAGGCTGTAAATCTTTATGGGAGCAAAAAGCCTCATCTTTCTCCCGCAGAACAGCTGGTAGTTTCGAACTGCTGACCTTGCAGCTCGCAGCCCGATTCGTTACCACTACGCTACCAGAGCTCCTTGCCGAGTAGTCCTCCTAGAAGAATATAAAGTATCTGATTA